TATTAATAATAACCAAACTGAATATTTGGTTATTTTTTTAAGCCCCTCTGTCATTTGACAGATTATAATTAACACCTTTGACTGGTTCACATGGAGACATGACAGACGTTACGCAAAGATCTCATCGCAGAGGCAACTAAAAATCAATAATAAAAAAAAAATCCTTACTGAATATCATCTCAGAGTCTGGACTAAATGCGTCTTTCTGACTGGGAGCTGACAGCGTGTTGAAGAGTGATGGACAGGACACCTTGGTTAGGAAGCTCATTGGAAACCTTTAGTTGAAATGACGCCTTTAACTCCAGTCTCCAGTACAGAACAGAGAAAACTAAAGACAATGCAACGTTGTTTTAATCCATTTATAGTCTAAACAGAGGAGCCAGCAGTTTATTTTGAAGAAATAAACAAAGGTGCAGAAGTTGATTAGATCCATGTGCAGTCCGCTGCACAACCAATGCGGACGCGGCTCCGCCGCTGCGAAGAATTAAGCGCCCTGCAGTTTTAACAAATGGAGGTGAAGACGTTACCCTCCCGCACCCAGAAAGAGAGCGATGCTCAGAAGGAGCGCGGCAGACGTAACATCTGTCCGTTTTGGAGAAGCGAAACCATGCAAAAAATAAAAATAAAAAATCCTGGTAAAAACGCACGTCCGAACCCTGCACAGGGTTAAAAAGAAAAAAAAAAATCTCGCAGAGTTCAATTGTTCGGTTTGGTTCATACAGATCTAACTGTTGATGAACCAGCATCTCTGCAGATGCGACCAGGAAGAATTTGTGAAGCTGTGAGTTCAGACCGCAGCGGGTGAATTAATGGTAATTTAAGTGGAGTCGCTTAATTTCATCTGTTATAAGTTATTAGAGCCACAGTCAGTGGTTTGTGTCACTATGGAGAAAAAGTTAGATGCATTTATCTGCTTTATGTGTGATGGGAAATATACAATATATAGTTACACTGCTTACATTAATGGTGTTTTAAAAACAAAACCAGTAAAAACTTAACTGACTTAATATGTCAGATTCCCTCCTCACCCTCGTCTTGATAAGAACAGAGAGCAGTCCGCTGGTTTCTGTCCAGACTGTGATCAAGCGCAGCTGACACTTGGTGCGCAGGCAGTTTCAACTTTACGCACAGAGAACAGAGAACATCGCGGAGCTCATTATCAATCATACTAAGAACAATATCTATCAGAGAATCACCCCTGATCTGGACGCTTTAATGAACCAGAGGCTTTGGAGCGTCCAGCACAGCTGATCCGCTTCTGCAGGGTTTTTCTCCCGCAGGCCGAGGGAAGTGATGCGGGATCAGGAAACGATCAGAGTTCTGCCGTCTTCTAATCACGTCATTTCGTGAAATGTTACCTGATTTCAAAAACGGTCTCACAGAGAAATACTAAATGTTTCGTTTGATGACTACAAATTGGAAATAAAATGATTTTTTTCTTTGACGGACAACGTAAAAACTCTAGCGCCATCTCTGCTCCAAACTACGAACATTGTCGGCCCCTCTTCGTTTTTTTGTTTTTTTTTTGTGGAGGATCAGTTAAATAACTTCTTGGTGTTTTACAACCACCAGGTATGAAGTGCTTTAGCCTTTGAGTTGCACCACAGCGCAGCACATTTGAAACATACAGGAGATCAATATCAGCTCGTTTTTATGAGTACAAGTATAAAGGAGGCTGGTATCGCGGCTGATATAAAGCTATTTATTTATGTCATCACATGGACTTATATAAAGTTTTATACATTTTCTTTTGATATATTTATTATTGTTTTTCTTCTTTAGATATCAGGTTGGCTTAGAATGATTCCGAATAATGTACAGGAATGACCTGGTGCTGTTACATGTCAATCATCAGGGGGGGCCAATCAGATGACAGGGGGGGCACTGGCGCCCCCCCCTCCCCCTCCCTCTGGCTCCGCCTCTGCTGCCTCCTGTTTCTCCGCCCACTCTGATGGGTAGTTTTTTGTTCTGGTCTCTGGCCCTCCTTCCGTCGCCCCTCCACCCGCCCTGGTTGTTTTTTTTTTTTTTTGGACTGTTCAGGTTGGAGGTGAACCGCAACGAAGGCCCTTTGACGTCTCAGAGGCGCTAAAACAACTCGATGGACAAGCAAAGAAAAAAAAAACCAGCCCGTCTAGAAGAAGAATAATTTTAGCTGTGGTGACGTAGAATAAATGATTAGTTTGGCCTTCGTCACGGTTCATGACTTCGACATCTTAGCTACTCTCCTTTCATTGTTGCATGTGCCAAGCAAGTTTACACAGAAATGCCAAAACACTTGAAAGATATTTGCTTTGAGTTGTCTAAAGACGTGTGGAAGAATTCAACTCCAGGTGGCCAGGGACGTTAATCTGACCTTGTCTAGACACAAAACAGTTTTTTTTCTTCCCCCTCCTCTTTTATGGTTTACAAAATCCTAATTTGTTTAAGATTTGCTGATCTTTTCTTTGGTTTTCCCCTCGCATTGTCACCCGGTAAGTCTCTTGAAAACGCAGACCTTTCGTTGGATAAACAACCCAGGGCAAAGTGGAGTGGCGGCTCTGATTACTCACGACGAGCTCCGTGGAAATTTCAAAGCAAGTGTGGGGTCCGGCTGCGAGTCCTTGAAGATTTTTCCCAGCTCGTGAACGAAAAGAGACCGCCAGAGGATGTTTATTCTTTAAACTACGAAACAAAAACTCCGTCTTATTTGTTCCTCATTTAGAAGCTGTTGATGGACAAGGTACGAGGGCTACACCGAGAGAAGAGTAAAGAACGGCGTACATGGCGCCATTTACTTTTAAGGCTTTTTTTTTTTACGTGATGTAACAGTGCAAAACGTTGTTGACTTAGTATAAAGTGATGCACTAATGTGGAAATTCAAAAATATGTTAGACCCCCTCTAAGAATGCTTATAAATACCTATTTTCATAGTTCAAATACAAAATATAGCTTCATATGCAGTAATAGAAACATTCCTAGCACTACTCCAGAAGCTAATATCTATAGCCGTCTTTATTTCTGCTCTTGGGGTACAGCCAATCACCACCCAGGAAAATAAATTGCCCTTTTTGATTGGCTGCTTTCCAAACCCCAGTCAATAGCATGTGAAGTTGTAATACTCCTCGGCATTTCAGCTTCCAAAGCTGCATTTTCTTTCAAATATTATAGATTTGCTCCATGGGGAAATCTAGCTGGATTTTCCGTGAATAATTTGGAGTTTTGTTCCACAGAAAAAAAAACACAAATAAAACTGAAAGTTTACATTTTCTGAAATTAAAGATCACCCACCAAATTGTACCTTTGTTGTCAGAAGAGGTTGCTTTTGGATTCTGATCCCATCCTTTATTCATGGAAGTGTTATTGGGCAGAGCTGTGAGCCCAATGAAGGAGAAGTGACTCTCATACAGATGGGTTTTATCAGGATACTTGTCTGGTGACATAACACAAGATTCATTGTAGCTCTTAGCTTTTCTTTTCTTTGTGAAATATATTTTCAGAACTCCAAATAGTCTGAAAGACAAGTCATCATGAAAAACAAGTCCTCTCTGTACTATTTCTTTCTGTTCTTGATGTTTTCTGACAAAAAAAAAAAAAACTGAATACAGGATAGAAGAACAGCTGTTGGGGGCTGCAAAAGACTTCAGACTCTTTGCTGACTCAACTTCATTGGGCAACAACACAAATGGTAATTACTGCAGATCAAAGCATGCAGCTCTGGAATAAAATAATCAGTTTTTCTGATTTTACCTTTTATTGGTATATGTTTGAGTAAAACAAACTCTTGTCTTGGAAATTCCAAGCAAAAATTTAGTATTTATTTGCAGAAAATGAGAAATGGTCAAAATAACGAAAAAGATGCAGCGCTTTCAGACCTCAAATAATACAAAGGAAACAAGTTCATATTCATTGCTAATCTTTTAACTTGGGAAGACTTCAGCAATCAATTTTTGGTGGAATAACCGTGAGGTTTTCAATGGGGTTCAGTGCAGTGGGCTCTTAGTTTTTTTTTTTTTTTTTTTTCCAGAGCTGTACTGATGAGTTAAAATGGCCCAGTCAAAGTCGAGACCAAACTCCAAACTCTTAACTGACAAGACTTTAAAACTGGTGTTCATTGATGTCCTCCATTCAATCTGAGCTGCAAATTGTACTTTTCATATTTTACTTGACATAATTCTTTAGAAAACTGTCTTATTTTCACACAATTTTATGATTATTCGTTGTACTTGACAAATAAAATGTAAAACTGATAATATGCATTACTCGGGTCACAACATAGGGCAAAAAAAATATATTCCAAAGATAAATTGATCCAGTTGTTTAATAGCTTAGCTTAAAACATGCTAAACGGCAAGAAAAAGATGCAACATTTTTTAACCGTACCCTAGTTTCTCAACAAAACGAAAATTGATTTACAAATAAATTAGTACTGAATTCATCCAAAGTTGCTTTTCATGTTGCTTGCAACGTTTTCTTCTAGCGGTCGTTTGGAAAAACTTGTTGCATGCGGCAGGCTGGTAGACACTTCAAACATTCCTGAGTACTTTACTCAGCTGACTTGTAAATTTGAGGGTTGTCATCACAAGCCAAAATACACATTTCTTTTTTTTTTTAGTGTCTACATAGCTCAGTGAAGAGTCCACCCTACACATATGGAAAAATGAAATCTCCACTATGTAGTTTAAAGGACAAAAAAAAAAATAACATAGCAAACTTCCTCTCAAAAACCAACTTTTCTAAGAAGTGGCTGCCTGATATGGCCTAGTGCAAATTATCAGTGGGAATCCTTTTAACTTCAAGCCCTGTCTTTTGGATGTAGAAGATTGCTACATGGTGTAATTGAAGAGTAGATCAAACGCGGAGGCAGAAGTGGTTGCTTTAGGTGGATGTCAGGTCCTACACACACTCCGTACACCGAGAAGGTTCAGAAAGGAAACAATCCTACAGATTACAGGCTGAAGGGCGTTTCCACACACACACACACGTTATGTACGAAGTAGGGATGATGGGCCATATGAATTTAAAAGTTCATCTAAATGTGTTGTGGAATTTAGCGAGACAAGACTAAAGAGTAAGGATAAAAAATATTTTAAAAAATTCCCCTTGCATTGAGAGCCTGTGACTGCATGTCACTGGGGTCAAAGCCCCACAAACACAAAACAAAGCAAGCAAAAGTAAATCCACAAAGAATAACTCAACAATTATGAAGTAGAAGGCAACTTCAGGAAACCGCTTATATTAAGTGGTGCAATTTTATGGCTAAACAGCGACAACATTTCTGAATTCAATCAGATTTCCCCTTCCGTGGAACCCAACAGTGGAAAGAATTGTGAAAGTTGCGATCCCAAGAGGATTATAAACTTCTGGTGGATTGCAAATATTGCTGTATAATGATGATTTTCAAGCAAAATTCATTCAGGGAGCTTCACAGAGACTCGGCTGGCATCAGCATAAGCACAGACAAAATCTTACACGTGGGCTACAAATGGCTCTTTTCTCATGTAAAGTCACTCCTGTACCAGAGGCAACATCAGACGTGTCTTACATGGACTAAGGGGAAAACCTTGTACCTTTCAGTGATGTTGTTCCTATATGTGCATGATGTTTGTGACTGTGGTTTTTCTGATGTTTCTTCTCTTTCTGCAGGTGTAGAAGCAGACTTCTAGGATGTTATTTTGTATTCTCTCTCTTTATCCCTACTATAATCTCATCTTCTTTCCCTTTCAACTTTTTCCCCCACATTTCCCTTTTCTTGAGTGCTTTACTGTCAGACAGAGCGCATAAGAACAAAGAAAGTGATAATCAAATCAACTGGAAATGTGACAAAGATAACACAAAGAAGCAAATGATGGAGTAGAAGCAAAAGATCTCAAAAGCGGAGATGGATAATTTATTTTACGGCTTGGGACACACATGAACTGCAACCAGATGAAAGGCAAACTATCCCTTTTCAAAAATATCGCATAAGTTTGTTGCCATTTATTTTTTCTGGGGTTGGGAAATCAAAGATGTCACTCTAAGAAATGAAACAACAGAAACATAATAGTTTCATAAGATTCTACATCGATGAAATCTTGCCAAAAATACCCAACATACAACATATCTGTTAAAGAAAGCGTGTTTTAAAGTGAACACGTCAGAACAAGAACACGTTAGGGCCAACATATGTTTTGCAGTTGTTTACACATCAGTCTGAACATGTTTGGCCTAAATTGATGTCTCGTTCATAAAATTTCCACACTGTGGCCAAGCCAAGTTTACGTGCGCTTGTTTCGGTTTCATTCCTGATAGATCGCGTTTGTGTGTTTGTCCTTAAGGTTTACCTTTCTTCGTCCCACCACCAACTGCCCCACACCAGTCATGCACATGTACAAACACCCACATTGATCCCTAACCCTTGAATCCACCCCTACACTCCGTCTGTCATTGATAGAGTACAGATGCTATCAGAAAAGCATGCCGTCAGGTCTGGGGGAATGCGGGATAACACTGTTTGCTCTCTCAAACATTCTGGTCACCGGTTTATTTGCATTTATTCCTTTTTGGGAAGAGGTGGGAAGGGGAGGGAGAGCCCAGTGGAGTTAGATGGACTTTTTTCTGTTTAGGATTATGAGAAAGTGTGGTTCCTTCAAAAGATTAATATAGAGATAATGAAGGGTTTGTAAATTTTGAACCTGTTTTTTTCTTGCATGCATTTCTTTTTCTAAAGCAAATCATAGAGAAGCTGGACTTGTCAATATTTCCAATTTGCTATTTTGCCACTATTCAAAAGGGAGATAAGTGCTTTACCTTTCTAAAAAACTCTTAAAACTGTGCTAGATATGGTCAGATTCTTTTTTTTTTTTTTGAAAGATGCTTTCCTTTCGCCTAATTGTACAGTACCAAAGACGATTACGTCTGGTACTCTCTGAATATATGTAAACGTCTGAATTTAAAGAAAGTTACAGAGAAATCGCTCAAAAATGCTCATGCTAGGTTTTAGTTGTTTTTTTTGTTGTTTTTTTTTTTGGCATTTTGCAAATAGAAATAATTTTGGCAATTTTAGCTAACATAAAGCAAGAGAAGTTTAATCAAAATTAACTTCAAACAGAGAGGAAACATGTGTGTGACTCTTTATTTGGTATATGAAAACTGGTTTCTACTGTAACCCGAAAGCCGTCGAGGCAGCTTATAGATATCTCATGATTAAAAAAAATGAACATTAGCCATCATCCTCATTTTCAAATCATATATTTTTTTCATGTCAATTAAAAATGGACACATTTGATTTGTTCTGGGTTACACTTCAGGAAAGCCCACATGATGTGTGAAATTTAAAAAAAATATATACTAGACCTTTGAAAGCTGTTGTGCTATGCATGGTAAATCAACAATTAGGTGATGAGATTTGTTCAACAAAGGTAAAAAAAAAAAGGAAAAATATAAGTTAAGCTGCAAAGGACTTGTCTGGACATGTTGCAGACGCAGCAGGAGTCACTCTCCACATCTTTTGCAAAGTGATAGATGTGCAGTGCTAAACCTGGGGATGTGCAATGGCAGCTGGAAAACTATATTCTCACCACAAAGAACGGAGGACCTACAGAATGAAGACGACAAATTGAGGCATTTCTGACAGCTGCCAAACTGAGCTAATGTGAATTACGATGCTTTCCAGGCCTTTACATGGGTCACATATTTCAAGTTTGGTAGAAGTGACAGGTGTCACGATTGGTGTGGATGAGGACGCAGACAGACCCAGGTTATGGTGAAGATGAAGATGAGTTTAATGACGAA